AGCTCCTGACAAACGAGAAGTCGATTCTGCTTCTGGTCCTCAGACAGGAGCCTTGGCACAAACTTGGCTGCGATGCGTCGCATGTGGGGGTCTTCCTTTAGAATCAGCTGACCGGTCCCATAGCCTATCCCAACAATGTCGACCAAGTCGTTGATGGTACGACGTCGATCTTCGTAACATTTTCGGGCGTTGTGCTCGGAGATGGTCGTCCAGAACGCTCGTCATCATCGCCAGAGGTTCGGCCATTTTTAAAACGTGAATGCCACCCAAAAGTTTGTGCACGACCCATTGCGGACTCCCCAAATGCTTGCTTTAGCATTTCATAGGTTTCCGTAGCCGTTTTGGCGAGTCTTTGGCAAAATTTGATTTGTTCATGAAAATCCGCCATTCCGAAATCGCAGGAGGGTCGGTGTAATGCACTACCAAAACGCCCGTAACTAAGAAACAAATCCTAATTCGATGATGCCGGCTGGCACACTGATTCACTATGAATGTAGGCCGCACCCCCTAGCGGCAGAAGCTCGTACTACATCCGGTTCGCCCTCTATTGACACAGTCTTGAAACTTTCTGATCGCACCTCGTATGTACGGCACGGTTAATTATTGCTGCATTTGAATACTATAGATGAAGTTAGGACAGGTTAGGATAGGTTGGGTTAGGTTGTGTTGGGTTAGGTTAGGTTATGTTGGGTTGGGTTAGGTTATGTTAGTTTAGGTTAGTTTAAGTTAGGTTAGGTTAGGTTGGGCTAGGTTAAGTTTTTTATTGGATTTTGTTATGTACGTTAAACGTTTTAAAAGTTTTGTGACATTTTGACACTAATGGTCACAATTCGTCACGCCGATACAATAACTCACGCCTAATCACGCTTTGTCATGGGTGATCACGCGTGGTCACGTTTTGTAAATATTCGTCACGTTTCGACACTTCTGGACACATCTCGTCACACCGTTAGATTACGTTACGCCTAGTCACGCTTTGCCACGCTTGGTCACGCTTAGACATACTTCTGAAATCTTCGTCGTATTTTAACACTTATGGTGGCTTCCCGACTCGCCTTTATAGCAGGCCACTTCTAGTCACGCTTTGTCACTTTTGATCACGCTTTGTAAATCTTCGTCACGTTTCTAAACATATGGTGATCCCTTGTCACGAGGTCAAAGCAGGTCGCTGTTGGTAACGCTTTGTCACGCTTGCGCACGCATTGTCACTAAGTCACGCTTACGTAAGGCTCGGTTAATTTGGGATACTCTGCATTACGTTAAATTAAGTTTCGATATGTTTGGTTGGTTCAGAAATGTTTGCTTTTGTTAGGTTTGGATAGGTTGGGTTAGTTTATGTTGTTTTAGGTTAGGTTAGTTTGAGTTGGTTTAGGTTGTGTTAGGTTATGTTAAATTAGGTTATCAGGATATGGTTTATTAGGTTAAGTTTGTTTAGTGTATTTTGTTAGGTAACGTTTTGAAAATTTTTGTGACGTTTCGACACTCATGGCCACAACTCGTCACGCCTAGTCACGTGTAGTCACGCTTGGTCTCGCTCTCCAAATCTCCGTCACATTTCGACAGATATGGCCATATCTTGTTACGCCAATGCAGTACGTCACCCGGAGTCACGTTTTATCACGTTTGGGCACGCGCGGTCACTAAGTCACTTTCCGGCACGCTTATGTTATATTTCGTAAGACTCGGTTAATTTTGGCAATTTTGCAACACGTTAGATGATCTTACGACAGGTTAGGTTAGGTTAGAAAGGTTGGGTTAAATTAGGTTTGTATTGTTTAGGTTGGGTTAGGTTAAGTTTGGTTAGGGTGGGTTAGGTTAAGGTAGATTAGTTTGTTAGATTATGTAACGTTTTGAAAATATTCGTCACGTTTCGGCACTTATGGCCACATCTCGTTACGCCGTTGCAAGACTATCTACCTTGCAATATGTATTTCTCTTTATTAATCTCCCAAACTTGAGCACCGAAAGTCCGCAGATGTTCCTAGTTATTTTACCGCTCTACAGAACGGAATTTAGTATTCGAACTGAATCTTTATAATTATATATATTCAACTTACCGATAATCGATCTTGATTCGAATTCTTAGTCTGAGAGTTGGCACTTGGCGTTCAGTATAATGAATAAGTGAAGAAGTTTCAATGTAACCTATAATCGGTCTTGAAAAATGTTTCAAAATTAACTTCTTCGGGCTTCTTTCTTCTTGCGATAAGTTGTGAAGACAGGTATGATCTCATCCTGAATACAGTTCGCAGTTCATTGTTCGTGGCACACAATGGGGTGTGAGTGTGTGTATGTGGGCGGCGTTATGTTGCACTGGGTTAAGGTCAGAAAAAGAACATTTTATTCACGTTTACTGACCTGCAAGGCTGGTTCTGTGTAGTGTATTTTTATGTGTGTGTGTTTGTGTTCGTTTAATGGCGTTTTGGCTTCGATGGCTATTGTCGTATGCACAAAATTGAATTTTGCACTTTTATTCTTGATACACAGCATTACACTTGCGAGCTGTAAAGGCCTATGTGATTGACATTGAGCCCGATAAGAAATAAGCAAAATCCTTACGCAAGGACCGTGTGTTAAAAGCTGTTAAAATATGTCAGGGGCCTGGCTGTGATACTGAGGACAAGACTTTGAAATACTTGCACGCGCCAAATATCAGTCATCTTAAAGGTGCTGACGGTATAACCGGCTGTAAGTATCCTTGACGTTGACGGTGAGAATAAAACCTCAGAATTATTAGTAGAAAACTGGGTCAACTGGGATAAAATTATGCCAGGTTTTCAAGGAGTCTGATGTTATATAATGAATGATTGTGAATTAAAACACGGAAAAATTTTCTGCGTGTCCAGTAGAAGTTTTATGGGCGTCAAAATAATACGTTTCAGAGAACTGGTAGTCCCTTAACCATTAAAGAGTCCTACAACGTTGGAAACGAAACAGCGATCTTACCCGTGGGTAGTTTTGACGGTATCCGCTGTCAGGCGTCTGCATGACAGTGAGGGATGTCCTGCAGGAAACGTAAACTGCACCAGTGTCACTCAAGAGAGTCTGACCGAAACTTGTAACTTAGCTATAGGAAGACCGTCGTATGATACTATGGGGCAGTTCCTGTAAATTTAAGGCATCTCCTTGAATGGTCTAATTTACGGACAGCACGTGTCCTAGGCCATCATAATTTTAATAACAATGAATCTGAGCGAAGAAAATGCATTTACAATTTGTAACTAGACAGGTCTGAGGTTCTAACGACGATGTTGATTTTCCGTGTTGTAAGGCTGCTAGGAGTTTCCGTAGATACCAGCGTTTTGGAGGAACATACTGCCTCCATCTCCAGGCCGTACGGCATCTAATGTCCCTACGTGTCCAGCCATTTTATGACTAGCTGGATGATCGTCAGTTTCTTAAGTCTGATTCGCAAGGAGAACTCCAATCCATACGCTAAGCGTCTATCGAGAAGACGTATTTCCATGTTTTGTAACCACTCACTTTGTTGCCTGTTGTAGCTCAGGTCTGTTTTTATGCTTCATACGACAGTTTGTCATCAGATTCAGAGTGGGCAGACGCTGTGACATTATCTGCGTCAAGTCGTAAAGAGTCTGACAGACAATTTCAATTCATAGCAGATTTCTCGAGATTCTCGCTGCCTGGATGACAAGACTTTCAATAACTTCACTCCACGATATGCAAAATTTGCATGTGAGTGATCGAAAATTTACGCAACACATTCCTGACACATGTTCTATTTGTCAGAAAATAAATTACACTGAAATCAGGGGAAAAAAGAACAATGTTACACTAAGTA